CAACAGTGACAACAGTGACAACGGTGACAACGGTGACAACGGTGACAACAGTGACAACGGTGACAACGGTGACAACAGTGACAACAGAGACCTCAATGACAACAGTGACAACGGTGAAAACAGTGTCAACAGTGACAGCAGTGCCAACAATGAAAACATTGACAACAGTGACAACAGTGACAACGGTGACAACGGCGCAACAGTGACAACGGTGACAACAGTGACAACAGTGACAACGGTGACAACAGTGACAACGGTGACAACGGTGACAACAGTGACAACGGTGACAACGGTGAATACAGTGACAACGGTGACAACGGTGACAACAGTGACAACATCGACAACAGTGAAAACAGTGCAACAGTGACAGCAGTGCCAACAGTGACAGCAGTGACAAGAATGACGACGAGGACAACAGTGACAACGGTGACAACTGTGACAACTGTGACAACAGTGTCGACGAAGACAACAGAGGCAACGGTGACAACGGTGACAACGGTGACAACCGTGACAACAGTGACAACAGCAGTTCGGGAGTATGCGAGCTTGGGAAGAAGCGATGACGTCATGATTCCATTGTTCTGCTAAAAAAACGCAAAAATAGGAAAAAATAATCGCAAGAAACAAGGGAGCTTTTTTCAAAGCCTTTTCCAGGTCTCCTCGTTGAATATCCGGGACTTCTGAGCTAGGAGTACCGATGAATAAGCCTTCTCCTTGCTTTTTGAATGTCAAGGGAAGTTTGCTGCCACATTTCGGTAGTTAAAAGCGACAGATTTCAAATGGCCTTCGATGCCGCCGCCGCCATTTTGACGGGTATCGAATGTAAGTACATGACTTTATGTTTAGTTTTCAGTATCTTGCCGAATTTTTACGAAATCAAGACTAATTTTCCTCAAAACTACAACGTGTAAAGTGTGTTCAGGTAAAGTTTCATCGATGGCAACAACCTAGTAAAAATGGCAATCACACATTGAAAATTGCCAACGGACAGGAAGAGTTACTGATATTGATGGTTATGCCTTAGTCTGTCTATGTAGTTTTAGTTATAATCGACCATGTCTGTTTTTGGTCGTGTTCACCGGCAATGTATGCGACTCTCATCTAGAAATCACTTTATTGATCCAGATCATGTGTGTGGAA